GCCGGGGGCGACAGAGCCCGGAGCCACCGGGGCTCCCCGGGCCCCCCTCGTAGCTGCCACCATCCGCCAGAGCGCTGGCGCCTCGCTCACCTCCCCTGCCTCGTTAGCAGGCTGATACACAAGAGTTAATTAGCACCCCGGAGCTGCATATGCACCGTTTACCAGGCCTGGGGCCCCATCGCATGGAGCACGGTGAGGCCTCCCTGGCTCTCCTGCCTGAGGAAATACTTACATTTATGAGGCCGATAGGCACAATTTGCTTAACCCAGATTTATGAGGTAAAGAAGAGCTAATAGTCCTGGCATATCCTTTGTTGCTTAAATAGGGTCTTGGTAAGGGAGTTATTGGCAATTTAAAGGGTAGACCAAAAAAACATACACTTCTAGCAGTGTGAAGTGTTAGATTAACTATGAAGCTGCAGGGAAAAACAAGACTCCCGGTTAGCCCCAGGTGCTGCCCCGGGCAGGGAACTTGCTCCTGGGAGCTGTGAAAGGCAGGGAAGGATCTTGCTCCTGGCTAGACTTGTAGTGAAGCCTGTGTAATGAGGGCTGTAAGGAGGCCTGTCTTGTACTGAGACTGTCTGAAAAGTGAAGCTAGGCTCAGTGCTAACAGCACTGCGTCCTGCCGGGACGACTTAAACCCTATCAATGTGCAGAGGTGACTGCCTGCTCTGGCCAAGAGGGAATATTGTGTTGCCTTGATGAGTTTTGCAAAACCCGGGTGGTGCAAAACTCTGTAGAGGTCATCAGGGACTCATCAACCTGATCTGCTCTAGCTGGGTGCAAACTGGTGAAATCCCTTCCTGCAGTCTCAGACAAGGACAGATGCTGGAAAACCTGCAATGAAAAGAGAATTGCCAACTTTGTCAAGGCTCTCTGCCCCCGCGCCGGCACCTTTGATACCGCTGACCTGCTGCAGTGGGTGCTGCCGGCTGCGTGTGGCTGTCCACAAGGAAACTTTGAGCCCTCAGCTTGAAGCCTCTGCTTAAATGAACCTTGCTAGCCTTATTTATTTATTTATTTATTTATTCCCCAAGGGGAAAACTATATTTTACGGGGTGGACTTGGCTTGGAGACCATTAGCTGGACTGCAATAAAGTATAATATCTCTCAAATAGCAGCTATGGCTATTGAATGGGCAAAGAAAATGTTTTCTTAACAAATATAACTAGTGGTTTGTAAAGCAGTAATGCTCACTAAGGCTTGGCATCACTGTATGCCAATGTGCTAGATCGATTGCCCCAAGATTTCTTGCAGGCCATCATTTGTTTCTCATAAAGATTGTAGCTGGAAACATGGTTGAAGATGGTGCCGCAGGTATTTCCTGTGGTTCCAAGGACCACAGGCCATGGAGCGGAGTTTTTTGGAATAACAGCTCTAAATAGGGGAAACAATTTTTTTTTTTTCCAAAAGACTAAGAACATGATTATCCTGAGCCGCTTCGGCAGACCGTCTGCCGCGGCCCGCCCTCGCCCCTGCCCGCAGCCCCCACGCGCGTCC